ATAAATCTGTAATTTAATTTGATTTATTATATTTTTTTTATTCTAGATATAACTTATTAAACAAATATTGATTAAATAAATATATTAAAATATTAAAAAAAATCTATCAATTTGTATTTAATATTCTTGATTCTTGTTGAATTGGTCACTAGTTAACTGACCTGCCTTGATCCTCACCTGCCATCCTGGGGGGAAGGGATTGTTAGTAATGCAGACTTCGTGTCCCATTGCTAGCAATACCTTCTATCAGGTCGACCTCCACATGATTCCCCTTGGAAACCATCGTGCTGAATTCCAGGTGTATTCATCCCGATTGGCTAACTGACCTGCCTTTTTAGCTCCACCTATAAAAAATTACATCCATTTTCACTCATTAAAAAAAAACATATAGTATTGTATCAAAGTATCATAGTATCTTATATATATATATATTTATTTATTTAAAATACCCATAATATCATAATACTTTTAAAATAGTTTAATGAAATTCAATACTTAAAGCAATAAATATAGGATTTAAAATGAGGAGCAAAGCGGTATTCCGATGGGAGCAATTTAAAACTCACAGATTTACGGTTGAGAGCTTACTGAGAGCATTGTGCTCTAGTGGGCACCCTCCCTACTACTACGGGGTGGGGGAAGGGGACGTTATTAATGGGGACTAGTAGCCCCATTATTACTTTGTCAAGTCGAAAGTATATGTGGTGTAATTACTAGTGATTTTTTTTAATGTCCGATGTAAGATCTTCTAGTTTATTATTTTTTTTTTCAATGGATGATAATGGAATGGTAACCCCGCCTGCGCTAACGGTACACGGTGGCGGGGCTCCAGTGAGGATGATAGGTGAAGACAAAAAAGCAGGTCAGTTAGCCCGTCGTGATTAATGGTTTCCAGGGGGGACCGTCTGGAAGTCGACCTGACAAGGCATATTGCTAGCAATGGGACTGGCAGTCCGCATTACTAACAGTCCCTCCCTCTTCTTCTTCTATCTTATTATCATTCTATTCATCTTCACCTATCATCTCTTACTGATACTCTGCCAGTGTGAATCAATAGCGGGCATGGATTTTTTTTAATAGTCAATAATGGAATGATAACCCCACTGCGTTAATGGTATCTGTACGCTGGCGGGGCACCAGTGGGGGATGATAGACGAGAATGAAAAGGTAGGTCAGTTAGACCATCATGATAAATCCTGGGATTCAGTAGGATGGTTTCCAAGGGGACCACGTGGAGGTCGATCTGATAGAAGGTATTGCTAGCAATGGGACTGGAAGTCTGCATTACTAACAATCCCTTCCCTACAGGAAGGCAGGTGAGCATCACCAAGAAGAATTAAAAATATTGAATACAAATTGATAGAAAAAAAAAACTATTTTAAACATTTTAATATATTTATTTATTTACAGGTTATATTGCTAACAATAGGAGTGGCATTGCTATCAACACACCAAACTAAGTCGACTTCCACGCGGTTCACCCTGAAAACTACCATGGTTAATTCCTGATGAATTCATCGTGATGGGCTAACTGGCCTGTTTCTATTCTCATCGATCACCCTTCACTGGTGCCCCGCCAGTGTACGAGTATACCGTTAGCGCGGACAGAGTTGCCATTCCATTATCATCCATTACAAAAAAAAAACAATAGAAGTGGTAGTTCGAATTATTTGCAGTCTAAGTGTATGTAAGGGTTGCTGATTATTGAAGCGCAGATGGGAATTATATGCTATTTTCATCGCTTATTTGCTATTTGGCCTGATTTTTTTTTTTTTTATACAACTTAGAATGGCAAACAAGCTGACGGCCCACCTGATGGAAAGTGGTAGCCGTCGCCTATAGACATGAGCAGCACCATGAACATAACAGAGCACACCGTTTCGCTCATGATACCCCCCCTGCGTTGCCATTCCTGAGGACTCAGATGTTATTCCTCTGTACCCTGTCGATCGACTTTTGTACAAAGTCTCCCTCTGGTACTGATTTCATCTACACTTAACATCTTTTGCTTAACATCCTATCCTTAACATCCTTGAGGGTCATTCCGGTTACGTTTCTATTTTCATGCATTAAAAAACCTACTGTTACTCTTGCGGGGGAAAGAGATTGTTAGTAATAGAGTCTAATGACCCCATTGCTATAATTGCCATTCTGTGAAGTCGACCTCCGCGCGGACTCCCCTAGAAACCATCGTGTTTAATGATTGTTGAATTTGTCAGTATGGGCAAACTGACTTGCCGATTATCAACTTACTGGTGTTCCGCCATTGTATACTGATAGCGTAGGCGGATACCATTCCATTATCATCCATTAAAAAAAAAAACAATAGTTTCCAGGGAAAACCAATTTCATTTTCACTTGTTAAAAAAAAAAAAAAGAAAAAACTATTACCTGTGTAAAGGGTGGCCTCCTTCCGTTATAAACGAATTTTTCCCAGAAACAAGTCGAAAAATAGAGAAAATAATTTAATCTCCGCACTAAAATAGAGTGTCCAGTTTTCAAGTTATTAAGGTAGGGTCAAAATGTTATTTCGTTTTTTAACACTATTTATTTATTTAAACTTCAATGCAAATTATATAAGTGTAAATATGGCGGACCTAACACCTAACAAGGTTCTCTGGGGTGGGGGGAGGGATTATTAGTAATAGGTCTGACTGACCCTTTGTTAGCATATCCTACCAGTTCGACCTCCACGCGGTTCTCTCTGGAAACCGTCATGGTTAATTCTACTGGGTATTCGTCGCAATAGGCTAACTGACCTGCTTTCATCGTCACCTATAGTCCTTCACTGGTGTCTCGCCAGTGTATACCGATAGCGTAGGCAGGATTACCATTTCATTATCACTCATTAAAAAAAATACGTACTCTACCAGTCAACAATGAGGCAAACAGAAAATTAAGTAGGCGGTGCATTTACTATTAAAATAAGCATAAATAATGTTACTAATATATCCATAACACACTATATATACATACATACATATCTGACACGCCTGTCTCCCATTAGGGTACGCAGAAACAATAAAACGCCAAATGCTTCAATTCAAACAAACCTCTTTCGCTTCTTTTACATTCATCAATCTTTTCATACATGCTCGCCGGTTACGGGTACATTTAATTTGGCTCTTCTTCGCCTATTTGGTCAACATACGTCCGTCTAGGGCGGCCCCTACCGACATCTCCATTCATTCTTGCTCCATAAATCTCTTTCGTAATTCTTCTTTCATCTATCCCCTACAAATGACCAAACCAACGCAAGCTTCCTTTTTCGATTTTTGTCACTACATCGTCTTTCAGTATATAGTCATACATATATATACTAACCTATACAAATACATACATGTAACATACAACTATAATTCTAATGATGAGAAGTAAAAACAGCCCAGATAAATGAAGGTAAGGTAGAAAAATCACTAATCATGTTTCCTAGTGATTATCATCGCTCAAAGGCATTCGTGAGATCACAGAAATTATAGGCGTATTTGTTGGCCTTTTAAGAAGAAATATGCTCTTTTCTTGAATGTTTCAATGACGTATCCGTTCAGAAATACTGCTACTGGGAGTTGGTTCTATACCTTTGTTAAAATACACAAAGTATAATGGAATTGTACATATCTCTAGAGAGTTGGTCCGGAATTTGTGTTAAGAGATAAACATGAAAAACTTATGTAAAATATACCTATATTTCACATAAGGTTTTTATGTTGATTAAGTCTCTTTAATGTCTATGATTCTGTTCATGTCTATAGGCGATGGTTACCACTTTCTATCAGGCGGGCTGTTTTTTTGTTTACCTTTTCAAATTTTGTAAAAAACTTTGGCTTTAATATTATGAGACGATTTTTTATAATAGAATGGCAAAGAAAATTTTTTTGTGAGTAAAAAAGTAATGTAATGTAACGTAATGTAACGTTATGTAACGTGATATAATGTTATTTAACGTAATGTAACGTAATGTAATAATGTAATGTAATGTATCCCCTTTTTAATTTTCTTTTTTAATGGGGTTGTTAGACCAACTACTAACAATTCCTTCCTTCCTGTCAAACAAGTTGACTGTTCTCTAAAAAACCCATGACTTCAATATTACCAGATGATCTGTTTTAAAATACTTAGAATGACAAACAAGCTGACGGCCCACCTGATATAGTAACCATAGCCCCTTTAGGCGTCACAGTATGTTCTGTAATTCATCATCATCATGAGTGAATCATGAGTTGCCATTACTGTAGACTACGATACTATGTCTTAGTATACTGCACTTTTACTGTTTTATCCCACCCTTTAAACTGATACTCAACTCTGGAAACATACGCTGTTACACAAAAAAAAACACATGTGGGACAGAGGTACGCATATAGACGATTTTTGTACAATTTCCCTCTAGTTTTTTGTAATGGATGATAATGGAATGATAATCCTGCGCTATTGGTACACGCTGGCGGGGCACCAGTGAGGGATGATAGATGAGGGTGAAGCAGGTCAGTTACCCCATCGTGACAAATTCAACAATAAACTAATCATGATGATTTCCAGGGGGAACCGCGAGGAGGTCGACCTGATAGGGTTTATTGCTAGCAATGGGGTTGCTAATCCCCATTACTAACAATCCCTTCCCCCCAAACACCTGGAATTCAGCAAAATGGTTCCTAGGGGTGACCACGTGGAGGTCGACCTGACAGGGTATATTGCTAGCAATGGGACTAACAGAAAGGGGATAGCAGTAAAAGGGGACTGCTAGTCCGCATTACTAACAATCCCTCCCCCCGTCTCCCTTTTAGTAATCTCGATTAATTGAAATACTCAGCTATGTACACTAAATATCGACAAATCTAATTTGCAGCTTATCGCAACCATTACAATTGGGATTTGAACAATGATGATATAATTAATCAAAACATAATAATTAATTATGGAGTCATTGTTCCATCGAATTCTGTTAGTTTATGTTTACATTCAATTGTTCAAACCACATTGATCTTATTTCAATGTAACTTTGAAGAGCTCACTCAGTATTCCGCTGTCCGCCGAGCCGTCGACACCGCTCGCACAGTTTCACCTCGAACAATTCCAAGAAAAAAAAATATTTCATCGGTCGTCTGCCGAAATGGATTATTGTTTTTGTAATTTTCAAGTGTTCTGAGTGTTGTTCTTTTGTGTTGACAATTTAATTCTGGATGATTTGTGACGGCATTTAACAATTTATTTGTAAGTAATTTTTGTCGTAATTGTTGTAAATTACAATTTTGTGTTATTGAGTTAAAAATTAAATTATATTGTTTTTGTTGTAAAAATATAATGGTTATTTCGTGTTACGTATAAAATTGCAATACTGACTTTAACGAAGGAGGACTTTATTTCTTGTGTAACTATTATTATGTCACAATTATGAACTGATTTGAATGATGATTTTTTAATGTTTAAATGTCAAGAAAATTTTAATAATAATTCTTAATTTTAAGAAAATAAATAAATTATAATTATTCGTAATTTATGTTATTTAAGTTTCTGAAACAGGCGAGTATGCATGACAACAATTTTAAAAGTTGCTTAGTGTAAGAAATATATAAAAATTGGAACCTTTGATTTTTGTTTCTCCCTGCCTTCCACGTTAGAGATTTGGTATGCAGAGAAAATTAATATCCTAAAATGCTAGCTTTGATCAGCATTAAAATAAGTATCTATTTTTATGCACTTATTATATTAAATTAATTTTATTATTTCGCGTTTTAAACATATAGATTTTAATATTTTTGATACAATACAAATTTAAATAAACAGTATTTATATGTCTGATTCGTGTAGAAATAGTAATTATTATAAAATTTATATACATTTTTAACCGGCTCCAAAAAGGAGAGAGGTTATCAATTGACTTGTGATTAGATTATAAAAATATATTTTACTTATTGAAAGTGCCATATAAACTGAGAGTTTGTTTGATGAATAATAGTAACTTTTGTATATAAAAATAATTGTAAAGGAACATTGCAGTATAATACAGTATCGTCCATAGCACTCCCAAGTTAAAGTCACAGTAGAGGTCTAGTGATGGAGTCTCGTATTTTTTTGTATGGTAACACAATGTCACACATATTATTTTTTACAGATCTATTTTTTTTTAACGCGCCACCTACCTATTTATGCTTTAATTCCTTCTACCCAAAGGTCGTCTGGAAGAGATTGCTTAGCAATAAGACCGCCTTTTGTACTACACTATACGTATTGAAAATTGTTCAACAAATCCTGTTATGTTGGTGCAATTAAGTGTTAAATAAATAAATAAATCTCATTATTTATTTATTATAATGGCATAATAGAATTAAAAGAATAAAAGAGAATGCTTTTAGCATTAAGTCTTTTACACACACATGTACTAATGAATATATAAGTAAATAATAATTTTAAAAGTTTTTTTGAAATGTTAACGTCTTCATTTTTGTTGTCTTTCGTGACGCAATTGTGCAGGAATATTGCAGTGCATAAATAAAGTTTTAGATTCGATTCTCGTTTGGATAGATTTTAAATTCGAATTTTTAAAATTGTACAGAGTAATTAAGTTATGGTTGTGCCCAGATGTACACTGTCTGATTTATTATGATACAGGGTGTTTTATTGTACATTCTATTCCCTAGCTATATTAATATATTTTATTTTAAGTGTGCAAACAGCTGGTGAAAAATATAGCTACTATTAGTTGATCTAGAAAACATTGTTTTGTCTTTTTTTTTTATGCAACTTAGAATGGCAAACAAGCTAACGGCCCACCTGATGGAAAGTACGAACGAATGAAAGAAGAACGGTATACACCGCCGGAGCACCGGTGAAAGATGATAGGTGAGGATGAAGTAGGTCAGTTAGCCCATCGTAACAAATTCAAGAAGAATTGTTCACAATGGTTTCCAGGGAGGACCACGTGGAGGTCGACCTAATAAGGCATATTGTTAGCAATGAGGTGGTCAAGCTCCATTTTAGCAATCCCTTTCCCCCCTGACACGGAATTTATATATATATATGTGAATAATGGAGGGCGAGGGATGTGCAGCAGCGTCCCTCTTATAACATTTTCAAAGTCTACCGGCGGTCGTCAATCCGCCCGCCAATCGTGGCAACAACTGGCAAAAGCTCCCAAGGGGGAGGCTTTGTTCAGTAGTGGACAGTTAATGGTTGGAATAATAATAATAAAAAATATATACATATAAAGAGATACTGCACAGTTGATAAATGTCTGTCTGTAAGTGATTACAGTTGTGACCATTTTTCATTATGTTTATGTAATAATCACTCTGACCTACCACGTGTAAGAGGAAAGTCCCAAACCTGCGGAATACTGGAATTTCGGGTGTTGCTATTTCGTTCTATCTCACACATGCGGTAGCGATAACGTAGCTAAATATAGGTAAAGTTGTCTACAGGAGTTGGTATGTAGATAGATACACTTATTAAATGATTTTATTTATTTTTATAATCCACAGAGTTTACATCCGTATTGATTAATATGATTTAATCCTGTCTTGTACGAATATAGCAGAAAACAACTGATTGTTGAGAAGCAAAATCTACATGTAAATAGAGTTTTCATCGCGGCAAAATTAGTATGGAACTAACACGAGTGTAAACCATAATAACATAGACTTAAGAAAAATATTATCAAATTCGCTTCAGAAATAACGAAGATATGTCGTGTCACATACACACACACACACACACACACACACACACACACACACACACACACACACACACACACACACACACACACACACACACACACACACACACACACAATACACACACACACACACACACACACACACACAAACACACACACACACACACACACACACACAAACAAGAAGTAGTTTAAATAATAGATGTAGGCCTATGAGTCAATAACCTATTTTGGTAAATATATGAACCATGAGTAAGTGATCCATGGATAATTTAATTCTATAAAATCTAGAGTATGATAAAATAACGTCATAGTAAAGACGGATATAATTTAATATGTCGAAAACTATGTCAAAGGCTGAAGGATATAAAACCTATTATATAACACTTAAATTTAAATTTTCTGACGATGATTTGAGTTATAAGCTTTTAGTTGGTCTTAATTTTCAACCGAATTTTTTAACAATAATTTTGTTTGTCACCTCATAAATCCGTCAGCTGTATTTTTAAAAGGATATACTTTTTTATTTATTATAATACAGAAAATACATACCTATCGTGATACAATTTCAGTGACTGGATTAATATTGTAACAGATTCTTAGACTATTTATAAAGTGAAAAAAGTGTTGTCCTCCTCTCTCGTACTTGCTGTGCCTAACAGGGTGCATAATTATAGTTGAAATGTTATCTAATAATTACATTATGGAATGCAATAAGAAATAAATAAAATAAAAAAAAAAAACTGGTTTTGAAACTATTTAAATTGCTTATTTTTTAGGAACTCAATTTTATTTAATAAAGGTTAAAATTATTTAGTTACCAGAGTAGACTATAAATATCGTCTGCTTAGAAACCCCTCGGTATTTTATCCCTCGTGTTTTTCCCCCGTGTTATGTTTAAAATAAGATGCAATGCCCTACTTTAAAAGGCCCAATGCTCTACCTTAAAATGAAAGGCCCCAAGAAAACTTTTTTACTAACTTTAACTACTTTGCTTTGACACTATTAAAAAGTTTCATTCAAAATCATTTTTAAAAATTTTGTTCATCTATTAGTTTTTATGTTTATCCGTAATCACACACCCTATCAGGTCACCCTCCATGCATCCTGGAAACCATCGTGGTTTCTTCAATGGGTGATAATGGAATGGTAACTCCACCGGCGCTATCGGTATACGCTGGCGAGGCACCACTGAGGGATGGTAGGTGAGGATGCAGCAGATCAGTTAGCTCATCGTGACGAATTCAACAAAAATTTGTAACGATTGTTACCAGGGGGAACCACGTGGAGGTGACATGAGTATATTGATAGCAAAGGGGCTGTCAAAGTCCATTACTAACAATTCCTTTTTCACCAAACCATCGGGACCGGTAGTCAGCATCACTAACACCCCCCCCCCCCTCACCACCCCTATTAAAAAGATTGAATTTGTACAAAAATATTTAAAATTTAAGATGATGATGCCTTTTCTCGTAGGCTAAGTTAAATAGAATGCTATGCTTTTAATTCCATGACATCCTTTGTTAATCTCAATATACCTACGTACATACACTTCATACACATCTCATACATACCTACTCGTCCGTTCCCGGTATCTAATCTTAATTCGTCTTCTCAGCACGTCTCCAATTCGGTTCCACTCAATACTCACATTTGCTTTATTTATTTTGCTGCCAATCTTGAATCATGCGTTTGAGCTAAGTACTTTTTTATTAAAACTAGGTGTTTTCTGCAGTTTACCTCACATAAATTGCGGTAAAAATAACATAAATATATTTATTTATTTATTTTTGGAAAGTACTAGGATAATTTCTTTCAAAATTTATAAAAAAACTTAGATTTGGTGTATATTATATGAGTGTGAAACATGGACAATGACGCAAAAGGAAAGAAAGATGGTTGATGCATTTGAAATGTGAACATAGAAGAGAATGGAAAGGATAAACTGGACAGAAAAAGTAACAAACGAGGAAGTCTTAAAAAGGTTAAATGAGAAAAGAACATTAATAAAAATAATAGAGAATAGAAAAGTCAAAATGCTGGGCCACCTAATACGACGTACCGATTTTTTATAGAGCATACTAGAAGGAAAAATAGAGAGTATAAAAGGAAGGGGAAGACCGAGAAATACCACATGAGACAGATATAGGAAACATTAGATCTAGAAAGAGCTGGCTGAAAGAGAATGAATGAATTAGTTGTCCCGACACATAAACCTTTTAAATATATATATATATATATATATATATATATATATATATATATATATATATATATATATATATATATATATATATATATATATATATATATATATATATATATATATATGCGGCTTACAGATAACAAACGAACATGCGGCTTACCTGATGATAAGTGACTACTGTCGCCCATGAGTACCCGCGATATTAAAAGAATTTCTGGAGCTCTGGCGGTTTTTAAAAGGAGTATGCCCTTTTCGTAAAGGCTTTTTTTTTTTTTACAACACAGGGGGCAAACGAGCACTCACCTGATGTATGAAGCCCATGGTCTACGG